TGTCACACCAGACGTGCTGCCTCAGCTCCACCTTCACTGGCTGCTTGATGATGGTGTCCGGGCTGTGCACAGGGAGGGCAGCTGGGGGAGACCAGTGACTACTTCAGGGAGCTGGAGGATGTCACCCAGGGGTTGAGTCAAGTTTTCAGTGCTGGGGTCTCTCTGGAGAGCTGCATCACTGCCTTGGCTCAGCACTATGAAGTTTGTTCCTAAGACCCCTCCTGATGCTGTGATGTGCTCCTCTCCCCATCCTGATCAGTGTGCTGCTCAGGCAGCTCCCCAGAGCCTGACTGCTTCAGGCTCACCTGCTGCCTTTCTGTTCTGCCAGGGTAACACATCCCAGAGCTCCCACCAGGCTTCCCCCACCATGGCAGCAGCTCAGCAGCAGCCTGTGTCAGCCTCTCTTGCAGCTGCCAAGAGTCCTGTGATTCTTTTCCAAAGTCCACCAGCAGCTCTCCAGCTCCCCAAGGCTCTTCAGTGTCAACTTGAAACCTCCCAGGCTCTTTCTCCAGAGCAAGCCTGCAAGCCCTCAGTGCCTGTTAGATCCTTCATCTCCTGTGGCTAAACTAGAAAACCTGGAGGATGATAGCAAGGAGGAGATTTACCAAAGGACTGAAGAAAGCATCAGGTGGTCTTTGAGTGATACTTGCATGGAGCCTGCTGCCAGGCTGTGCCTGAGTGAGCTGGCAGGGGTTCAGAAGTCAAAGCAGCTGATAGGCATCAAGGAGGATGCATTCTGCAAACAGATCTTGGAGGATTCCCACAGAGTGGGCATCCTCCAGGAAGACCCAAGCAGCTGCACTTGCCACTTCAACCAGACCTTCCAGCTGCCCTGCTAGCACACCAGAGGGAGAAGGAATGTGATGCCTATCAGGCTGGGCGAGATGGTGCTGATGGCCTCTTGGAGGTCCTGAAGAGCTCCTGGAACAAGTCTGGATAAATCCCTTGTGGTGTCTTGCCTCGTGGCAGAGATCAGCTGGCTGCTTACCCACTGCAGTAGAGAGGAGTTTGAGCGCAGGCATAGGGCCTTCCAGGAGCTGACTGACAGCTGGATTGGGCCCTATATTGAGCTGATGCTCTAGCACCAAGTTGGAGCCAAGCTGGGCACTCCCCTGCGTCCTAGCATCCACCTTCATTCCCCTCAGCCTGTCACTTCCTCAAGACTCAGTGTGGAAGGGGCAGTTTGGGTCCGTGATTTGCTGAGCAAGTGTCACCTCTTGCACAGGGCAGCAGAGGAACCAGATTGGGAGCTCCTGATCCTGCAGGAAGGGTAACAGCCGCTGACCTGGCAAACAGCCATGGCCAGGAGCCAGCCACGGGTGATGTGGTGTGGGAGGTGCTGGTATAATGACATGTGACAAAATTATTTGATCTGTGGCCAGCGCCCGCAGGTCCTTGCAGCATCCAGCTGGGAAGTATTGTGCAACAGAGCCAATAAATAGGCTTTGTGCTGTTTGGGAGCTGCGTTGGTCCCTGCGCCAGCTGCAGCCGCCCCTCCCCGCCCAGGGGATGGGGTGTGGGGGGTCAGGCAGGTCTTTGGGCAGTGCTGCTCAGTGGCTGTGGCTCACTGCAGTGCCCTGGGTGGTGGGAGGTGGCAGCTCCTGAGGGTGGAAGTCGTGCTGTGCTGCAGCCCCATACGGGGGCAGGGGAGTGGTTTGTTTGGTTGTCGCAGCTGCTCTCAATCTTCAGAAAGAGGAACCTGGCCTTTTGTGTGGGGGTCACTGCCGGGCAGAAAATGCCCTGGAGAGATGGGGAGCAAAGGCTTCACATGCTGGTGGGGGAGGGAGAACATCCCAGAGAGGAAACACCCCCAGTCTGCAGGCACTGTTCTGGGGTGGGTGAGCTCCTTGGCCCCTTGCAACCAGGGCAGCTCCAGCACCAGCAGCTTGCGGCCTGTTGTTGGGACCTGGCAGGGGAAGTTAGAGACCTTTCTCTGTTGCTGTTGTTTGGGCACAGTCTGTGTTTTCCCAGAGCAGCACTTCCTTCATTAACTCTTTGGTGTGGATGGAGTTGGCCGTCAGCGCGGGCTAGGGATTTCCTTGGGTTGTGAGTTTTGTAACATGATCTGATACTATCGAGTCTCTGACTAAATATAGTGTCGTGTTTCCTAAAACACCTTTTTGGAGCTGTGTGGTTCCCCTCTCAGCCACGCTGGTCAAAGAGGTCTGGAAGGCTCTGGCAGCCCTCTTGCCCTCTCTCTGACACCTGTGGGCACCTCTCTGATTTTCGGAGGGCTTTCCCCTCCACCTGTGGCTCTGGACAACTCTTATCCTGCCCCCCTCCAGCCTGGCACAGGTGCTGCTGGATACCCACCAGCAGTGAATGAGGGGTCTGGCCAAGAGCACCAGAGCTGGGGAGCACTGGGCTCCCCTCCCCAGCCAGCGAGGCAGGGTGGCTGAGCCCTGCACTGGGTCACCGTGACTGGCTCTGTGGCCACAGGCACATGCCAGAGCAAGAGCTGCTGCCAGCACTGCTCCCTGGGTGCTCCAGCGTCACCCCATCCTCCTCCCAGCTGAGCACACAGGAAATAACTCATCTCCGCTCTCTGGGTAAACATCTTTCCCAAGAGTGAAACTGCCCGGCCAGGACTAGCGCTCGACTGTGATTTACCTCCACATGACCGCAGTGCTGTGCCTTCCCACGCGCTGATCCACCCAGGCAATCCTAGCATCATTCCAGGGCTATGGACAGGTCCTGAGTCCTGAAGGTCTGTGGCCTGTGTTTGCAGGCTCCCAGGCCCAGCTCCCTTCCTTGCTGGTGGGGGAACTGCTCTCGTGAATTGCTGCTGAAGCACAGGGAGTCCCAGCCCCCCAAGCCTCCTTTGACAAATTTTTGTCTGGAAGTGCTTTATTGCTGTCTCTGACCCATGTCACCCCCCTGCCCATGCTCTGGCCCTGCCACACTATCAACGCAGGGTAAGTCCCAACACCACACTGTCCTGCTCTCACATTGGCCCTTTGGCAGCACATATCAGGAGGAGAGAGCGGTGACAGGCACAAGTCCTGACAGGCAGCCATCACGGGGAGGCTGTCAGTGGAGGGGGTAACCCAGCGCCCTTGATACCTCACTCATGTTGGCAGAAGCTCTTGAGAAGTGGGGGCAGGTCCAGGCCGTCGATGGCCAAGCGGTGCACGATGTGCTTTTGGATGACCAGTCGGCACAGCGTCTGCAGGGAGGGAACTGGAAGAGAATGGAGAGAGCAGCTGAACTGGGTGAGTTGGTGGTGAGGCTCAGTGCAGAGGGGTGGAGGAGCTGGCCCCAGGGCTTCCTGGAGGCACTGTGGTTTAGGGCAGCAGTAGGTGAGTTTGTGGCCCCAGGTTCAAGCTCGCTGTGCAGGAGCTGGTGCCAGGCTGCTCCAGCAGGGCCAGGAGTTTGACCGCCCCAGGCAGTGAAGTTCTTCCCGTTAGTCTGAGGAAGGTGGGGAGACAGTTACATGGCCAAGCTGTGTGTGACCATAGCTAGTTTGCATTTCTTTCTCTGGCAGCTGTCAAGCAGCTCCCCAGGGTCTCACACCTGCAGAAACAGCACCCACCATGCCTCTGGGACATACCACCATCAGAGCTGTGCCCATGGGCACCCATGTGGAATCTGCCTGGCTCCTGCTGCTGTGACACACACCCCATGGGCTTCCTTGCCCTGGGTGTCTCAGGAGCACAGGTGCTGTCCACTGCAGCCAGCACTCTCCTCAGGTGTTAAACCAGGGAGAATCCCAGGTTCCAGTCTTGGGACAGAAGTAGCTGCCCTTGGCACTGCATGGGAATTGCCGGCTCCCAGCGGTGAGGGGCAGCCCATACACCAGCAGTCCTCCTCCTCCTGACTCTGCCTCACCTGATCCTCAGCATCTGCTGATTTTTCCAGTGCGGTGCTAATTAGCACTCATTAGTCTGGCCCCTCCCAGCCAGCCAATGGATGCAGGATAATGCTCAGGCTCCGATGGCATCGGGGGTGTCTGCCCAAGGAACTCCGTGTCTGGGACACATGGACGGTGTGGGGGCGCAGCATGCCATGCCGGGGCGGGCAGCAGACGTAGGTGGATGTTTTGGTGCCTGGGCTGGATGTTGGTTGGCTCTGGCAGCAGCGTGGGCTAGGCTGGGCACAGCAAGGCCTCACAGCCCTGAGGCAGCCCTAAACACCCAACCCCCATCACTCTGCTCAGGAAGGGTGGCCAGGGGAGCTCTCTCCTAGGCCCCAGCACAGCCCCCATGGCAGAACTTTTGGCAGACACTGCCTGTCAGAGGCACTGTGGGTCTCACCTGTGCTCTGCAGGGGGACAGGGGCACTCCTGTGCCCTCTACCCAATGTCCCTCTGCCCCCTGGCACGCTCTGACATTCCCACTGTTGGGGACTATGGGGTGACTCCACCGGAGCCCCCCCTCTCCTGGCCCACGCAGCACATGC